GCCCTTGAATAACATTTTTCCAGTTTTAAACTGCTTTTCTAAAGTATTAGAAAATGTAAACAAGATTATATAATTTATAGACCTTGCCTGTAATTTCAGTTTTCCCTCGCAAAAAGAACTACTCAAATGGCAGCAATTGCTTTATTGTCTGTTCTTGTATTTAAAATTTATTATTTCCAGAATTTAGAATACAGAGAGAGTCCATTCCCCTAATAGTTACAGTTATTACAACTGATTACCAATTTTAGGAAGAGGCCTATGGAAAAGGTGACATAGTCAGCCCTCCATATTTGTGTGTTTTACTTTTGTGATTTTGATTATTCACAGATTTGATTAAAATGTTGTGTCTTGGAATATTTAGATCCTCTAGTGCGACTCTATGGTAAACATCTAGCAGTTGACCATTGAGTTACACTTCAGGACGTAGAGATTCCTAGAGAGAATACTCCTCTAAACATTTATAGACCTTCCAGAGGGATTCTATGGTCTACTTTCAGCTGTATTTTTCTGCATGGCAGGGGTGGCCCTGGATGGTTTCTTCCAACTCTAATGTATGATTCTATTGTTACTTCCTCCCCAAGCAAAACATTAAAGTTTTACTGACTTTCTATTGTTTTTAAAAGATAAGGAAAGCATTTGGACAGTAATGTGACGGGAAATATCGGTTAACAAAGATTAGATGATGGTGTTGTTGTGGTTCAGCCTGTAATGGTTTCCTTGCTGAGATTTCAGAGAACAGTGAACAAACTTCTGCAGACCCACAGGGGCCTGAGAATGGAGATTCTGGGCAAGTGTCTGGTGTTGCTTATGATGAGGCTGAGAATTCTGGGATTGTTAGACAGATTCAGAGGCTGACAGGACTGAGCTAGCTTTCCCAAGAGAACCAAGGTTGGAATTTTATCGGAATGTGTTAATTGGAGATGTATATCCATCTGATGACTCCCCTGAGTTAGACAGAAAGAAAGAAATTTGTCAGCAGAGACAGGTGGCCAAGGAGAGGCGCCGCTCTCAGAGATTGTTACCTAAGAGAGGCCCTAATCAGACTTCTCAAGGAAAAAGACATCGTTTCTTAAGTATAAATGAGGGTTGATTTGGAGTGATCCTTTAGAGGAATCAATGTCTAGGTAAAGGGAACAAGCCTAAGTTCCTCTCTCTTGTTTCAAGATTCGTGGACTCAAGCCTTGTATTTTCCTATATGGTTTTTCGGGGACTCGTGTTTTGAATATCAAGTGTTTTTATGATTTCTTGTATTGCTCCTAGAATCAAATGATTTCATGGACTCTTATAGTTTGTTGGATCACTGCTATGCTGGTCATGTACCTTTGATCCTCACCTTGGCCTTCTGGATTATTGCCTTTTTACATGGACTATATTTTGTATGACTTTTATATACTTTTATTCTATTTGCTGAAGCTGCATTTATCCTTTAATAAACTCCTTTGCTTATACACTGGAAACTGGAGTGTGAGATTAGTTCACAAGTGCCTTTCCAGCCCTGGTGTGTTTCAGGTGTGACAACAATTAGCACAAATTGTTAGTCCAGATGTCCTAAAGCACAGAAATTAGACCACCTCTAGACATAAATATGTACTTCTTTTATGGTTTTAATATTATTTTAGGAAAATTGTCAGTTTGTTTTTATCTCAGTCTTCCTAGGTTTAATTCTGTTTCATGTTTATAGTCTTTAAGTTTTAAATTGGATATTGTATTGTTTTACTACCATGAAATGCTCTGAGACCTTTTAAGAAAAGAAACGGTAAATCCATGTATTATTATTATTATTATTATTATTATTATTATTATTTCTGTAGTCACATTAATGGTGCTCAGTTTGGGGTTATATAGAACATTGTTGTTCGTCTGCCTTAAAAGTTAAAAGACACAAACAATGTACTTGAAAAATCTATGAAGATATATATCTATAAATTGAAAAGTATGCCACAGGATATGTAGCAAAGAATCTGTTATGCCTATAATATTTTTTCTTCTTTTTTCCTCTTCAAGAGTTAACAAAAGTTCCTGGTAACATACCTCCAGATGTGGTTAAACTTGATCTTTCTAACAATAAAATCAGACAGCTACGACCTAAGGAGTTTGAAGATATCAATGACCTGAAGGCGTTAAACCTCAGTAGCAATGGAATAGTTCACATAGACCCAGGTGAGAAATTCTTATAATGATAGAAATAATAGTATCTAAAGGCATAAGATTAATATATGATATAAACAGTGCAAAATGTGGTCCATTTCTTTAAAGTATGGTTTCCATTTGAGGGTTTTTTTTATACAGTATTTCAGTATCGAAATTATGACTGGACTATCAGTTATTTCCCGTTGTTTTTCTATAGGGCAGTTCAGACATATTGAAAGCAAAAGCTTTAACCAGATAGCTTTCAGCTTTATTCTACACTTGATAAATAGGACTCACAGTAGCGTTCAAAACGATCTGATTTGCCACTGGGCTTTTCTTATAGTTCTGCATTGTTGGAACTATGCTAAAATCCATATGTATTAAGATCCCACTAATCCCACTAGGATCTTGGGCCATGGATACTTTGGGGTTTGTTTTCAACTCACACAATAACTGGAAGGGTTCTTCACATCTTTCTTTTAAGATAATGAAGATTTGCAAACTAATCTACATGCAGTTCTGCCAAGACGTAATGTTATTAGTTTCTCTATGCCCCAAAGATACATAATTTTTTCTTGTTTTTTCTTGAATAGCTGCTTTTGCTGGACTCATCAACCTGGAAGAACTAGACTTATCGAACAACACTCTACAAAATTTTGAATATGGAGTATTAGAACATTTATATTTTTTGAAAATATTATGGCTTAGAGAAAATCCTTGGAGATGTGACTACAACATTCATTATCTTTTTTATTGGCTGAAGCATCACTACAGTGTTCACTATAACGGCCTACAATGTAGAAAACCCGAGGAATACAAAGGCTGGCTTGTTGGGAAATATGTCAGAAGTTATTATGAAGAGTGTCCCAAAGACAGGCGCTCTATTTATTCGCAAACATATGAACAAGACACAGAAGATGAGGAATGGGAAAGGCTCAAAGAAGACCAAGTTCAAACAGGAAACAAACAGGGAGTAATTGTTACCGTAATAGGCTAATTTGTTCACCTCTGCAGTCAAACTTTTTATATTTTTGTAAGGAAAAATGTTTGTATTTTTTTGGTTAATTGTTCTGTTTGTTCATAAGGGATTATCTGCTAAAATATTTTTCAGTACTCATAATATGATAAGAAGTACTTATTTCATAATAAACTTAATATTTTTAACCTGTCTTGTGTTATTTTCCCGAAGTTTGGTAACCATCTGTAGAAGTTTAATACTGCAGGTAGCTCACTTCCACTATCATTTGGGGGAAGTGGTATGATTGCCCCTTTTTTGCCAATGTGGGGTGCAAATGTACAGAAAGTTATTATCTCCCTCAAGCTCTGAGAACTAACCATCTCAGAAAATAAAAAGAGAACCTCACTTCAGTATTGTAAGAAAGAGCTAAACAACAGTGAAGGTTGCTAAAATGTTTTAGAGATGAGGTCTCACTCCTCATGAACTGAATCTTTTTGGAGAGATTTTTGTACAAAGAACACACATTTCTTCCCTAATATCTTGCCAAAGTGGTTGGCTTCCCTCTCAAAGGATTCAGTTCAAGAAGATAGAAAGCTCATCTTCAAAACAAAGTACATTGTTCAAAAGTTTCCACTTTTTTCTAACAGGAATGGACTGTGGCCATATTTCTACACATACCAACTGTTCCTGTTTTCCTTTGGTTTTTATGTCTTTAGTCAGCGTAAAGATTGCTATGGTTATGATTGGTTTCAACATGATTTTTCGAGAGTTACAAGTTGAATAGATGCGGGTTAAGGGAGCAAGCTTGTTTTCTGCTTCCTTGGAGACTAGGACGCAGAACAATGGCTTCAAACTACAAGAAAGGAGATTCCATCTGATCATGAAGAACTTCCTGACTGTGAGAGCCGTTCAGCAGTGGAACTCTCTGCCCTGGAGTGTGGTGGAGGCTCCTTCTTCGGAAGCTTTTAAAGAGGCTGGATGGCCATCTGTTGGGGGTGATTTAAATGCAATATTCCTGCTTCATGGCAGGTGGTTGAACTGGATGGCCCATGAGGTCTCTTCCAACTCTTTGATTCTATGATTCTATAAAAAAAACTTTTGAAAACTTTTCTTTCATAGTTAATATAAGACTGTCTGACACTTAAGCCTTAGATTCAGTATGCTTTGAACACAATGTAGTGTGCGTACAAGGTAATTCAGCAAATACTGGTTCCTGCTTCAGTGGCTAGCATGGTCGATACTTGCTGAATTGATGGGTTATTTTCTGTGCTTCGGATGACCCACAATGTAATCTCTTCTAATGTGAAATCCTCATGGGATGCCCTGAACATTAGGAAGAACTTCCTGACCATAAGAGCTGTTCAGCAGTAGGACTCTCCGCCTCGGAGTGTAGTGGAAACTCCTTCCTTGTAAGCTTTTAAATGGAGGCTGGGTTCAAGCCCTCAATTAATGTAGGTTAGATAATGAAGAGATCCATCAAGCCATGCAGGAGCCATTTGGGTACAATGGCATCCCTTGACAGTATGCACCACACCCTCAGATTAACTACTTCTGAAATTTATTATTAGACAGCTATGAAGACATGTTATAAAATAGTCTAAAAAAGCGCAGTAGTTGTGCCTTATTATATGTATTTTCATTTGTGAATCTTTATAATGAATATTGCCTAAATATAATTAAGTTCATTAGCTGCGCACATGGCCAAAGTTGCAAAGACAAATGAAATTGGAGTCGGAGGAAGATGTGGTTCACAAATTATATTAATTTGTGAACCACATACAGACATACAGACATACTATATTTTGACTTTTATATAGTGACATTTTTTGTACATTTCAAAAATTGTTGGCCCCATAATAACCTCAACAATAATAACAAAATAAAGCGGAAGTCAGATAAAACATATGCTTACCAATATTTTTAAAAGTATGCCACTGAAGAGTAGAACAACCACGAAGATTCAAATGCACCACATTCGTGCGCCATTTCAGTAAAATATTTCCAGCTATATTATCTTTCACTACTTCTTTTGCTGCAGAGAAATTAATCTTTAAAAAAGATATACTGCTATTAAAAACAACCGATAAGGAAAACCCTACAACACATTTATATTGGAGATCAGCTTAATCAGTTTCATACAAAAACAAATGCTTCACTTTAAGAAAATGAATAGTTGAAG